AAAAAAATAGGGTACAAAAACCACTCGGAAGAGAAACAAAATGATAGAAAGAAAGACCAGCTACCGCACCAAACGAGAAAGAGCGTCGAGGAGACCGATCAAAATAAAATAAAAGGAGAACGGGGAACGCTTCCCACACCAGCCTACAACGCCGGAGGGTTCCGTGCCGGGTTCCCGCCGTGTGTGTTGAGCGTGGAATCATTGCTAATCTGTCTTGGACTATTTTCTTCGCTAGAGATGGATTTGTCGTGTGATATAAAGGAGACAATAAAATTAATTGTTGTTGCTATTGTTTCCAACCTTTCCAATCTCTGGTCATCTCGTGCCCGGTCCAACTGACGCAGACGCCTTCCGAGGTCATAGGCCAACTACTGCTGTACCAAAAGGGGGCACACACTGCTGCTGTGTGTGTTGAGCGTGGAATCATTGCTAATCTGTCTTGGAACTCTTTTCTTAGAGATGGATTCGTCGTGTGATATAAAGAATAAGAAAACTAATTGTTGTTGCTTTTGTTTCCAACCTTTCCAATCTCCGTGCCCGGTCCAACTGACGGAGACGCCTTCCGAGGTCATAGGCCAACTACTGCTGTACCAAAAGGGGGCACACACTGCTGCTGCTGTGTGTGTTGAGCGTGGAATCATTGCTAATCTGTCTTGGGACTCTTTTCTTAGAGATGGATTCGTTGTGTGATATAATGAAAAAGAAAACTAATTGTTGTTGCTTTTGTGTCCAACCTTTCCAATCTCTGGTCATCTCGTGCCCGGTCCAACTGACGGAGACGCCTTCCGAGGTCATAGGGCAACTACTGCTGTACCACAAGGGGGCACACACTACATCTCATTCATTACTTTTTGGGAAACAAGGAGAACAAGGGAGAGAAGAGCGCAGCCCGTACCACGCGAGTGAGGAGCCGCTGAAGGTGCAGATGTGGGAGCGCCATTCCTCCGCTGGGAGGGGTAGGTCACATTGCCGTCAAGCTGGATAGACATTCTCCGTGAGGAGATAAAAACAATGGGACAGGCTGCCCACGGGTGTTTTCTTCGGAGAACTCTGCATGCGCTGCCTGCCAACACAAACGAACCTTGAACCCTCGGAACACAGCAGCAGCGAGCTGCGACATGCAGTAGGTAGGGTACAGCAGCAAGCAGTGGGAGCGAAGGACCGACCGACTCAATATTTGCCTCAAAGAGCCAGCAGCGGAGAACAAAGAATCTCCGTACATGATTATGATTTCACTTTTTTCTGTTTTTTCATCGCGCATGATGTTTCCTCTAGCGCACAACAGAAAGAAAAAAACACTCATCGCCCACTACTCTCGGTCCCCTTTCTGTCGGCGCGTCCCCTTTCTACCGAGAGGGCTTGACAATACTGCTGTACCCACCCCGTCCGCGGCGTGGATGAGCGCAGAAGGGGTTGTCTCGTGACCAAGAGGCAGCCCATCAGTTCGCCTTCTTCCCTCCCGCGCCCGGTCTTTGTCTGGTACGAGGGAGAGGAGACATGCTCGTGTTGTTGTACGTGGGACGCGGCACAACAAGAAAAAATGGGGGCGGGTCTGTTGTTGTTGATTGGTGCGCTAACAACATCAGCGTTTATTCATGGCCACCATGATAACCGCTCATTATGTAGGGCAACACCTTTGACGGCATCGTGCAGTTGGTTAGTGGCCTCTTTCCGTGTTTGATTGTTGGCCGATTGGCGTCGAGGGTGCCAACAAATCTGCTTCACGGCGGTCGTTATTCGCGGCGTCATGACCACAGAGAAAGATGACCAAAAAATGATACGCACACACACATCCTAATCGCCGCAATAATTTCCGCTCCCTGACCTGCTCCGGCGACTGCCCTATCCTCGTATCACAGGTCTGCTTGGCGAAGAAGTACAAGTTAGGAACACGGACTCTTCTTACCATGGTGGACGCACAACCGTTTCGATTTGCACAAAGGCTAAGGCCAATCCTTCCCAGGAGCTACTCCGAGGTACAGAACCCTCCTCTTCTGGTGGGCTTTATGGCCACCCAGGGGCTTTTGCCCCCGGCCCGTGGACAAAATTTATTCATTGTAGTCTACAGCACATGCAAAATCAGATCAGCGAATACGTGGTCTAGACGGCCCGAGTTACAGTAATAGCGTACAGCAGTAGTTGTTGACACCGCGCTGCTGCTAGTTTCTGTGTCTGTTTGCGAACTACGGCCAGTTACCAATCCGAGAGAAGTGAAGCCTGCCAAATGATGATGATGCTGGCGAAAATAATATCGTTGAATCCAGCCAATGCACCACCGACAGATGCATTGCTGCACATGGCATACTACACAGCTGCCGTCCTTTTTTTTTGCTGCGCAAATAAGGAGGAGCCCTCTACGGAGAACTTGGGGCCACCGCCGCCGTGTTTGGAGGATGTCATTAGCGGGGCTGCAACGAAGCAACCGTTTAACCTGGCGAGTTTCATGATCTTTGCGGAGAGGAACTTGTTCTCTGAGGCGGTGATGTTCCTGACAGAGGTGCGTCTCTGCACCAAGGTGGATGTGTGGGAATGGAATGTGTTGCACAACAGGCTGAAAGAATCACCGTGGACGACGGTTTGACTTGGCGAACGAGTGCCGAGACCCCCGTTTCAGGTCCTCCTTCACCCCCGCATGCCTCCACCATTTTGCTTCCGGTGAATATTATCCAAAACTACTGGCATAGTCTAGACTACACTACAAGTTTTTTCACACAAATTCTCTAGATGACGGGAGCATCACCACCTAATCTATGGATGGGTTGGCTTTCTCCACAGAATACAGTTTATCCTCTGGTCTTTTCCTTGTTTGTATGCATACAATATAGAGCATCTACGTAGCGCACGTCGTGAGCATACACACTTCGGCTTCACGGTCGACGAGGGAAAGGGATGGCTGAATCCTTCTCGCGATAAAAACCAAGGCAAGCACATGCAGGGGGAAATGTGGGGCGGCAACAAAACTCCTCCATGACGCTCGGTGACAGGGTCCGATATTGTGGCCTTTAGGCCCTTGTTTATGGTTTCCAAATCTTTTATCTTCCTTTCTTTCGACAAATGTTGACTTTTTCGACCTTTTGGGCAGTCTGTCTCCCGAACGAGTGCGAATCAGCTGTTCGACCTTTGAGAACAGTCACAGCTTTGGCTGAGATGTCTACAGATCGCCTACATGTTTCGCCAGGGTCCACGTTTGATCAAGGTGCGCAATTTTCACGCAAGATTTTTCCAACACCAGCTTTTGGACAGATCTTGGCCCAAGATTTGCTCCGAGGTGGCCTTTCGGCCGAATCTTCAATATCTTGCTCTGCTGGAAAAAAATCAAACGTGAACCCTTGCGAAACATGTAGGCGATCTGTAGACATCTCAGCCAAAACTGTGTCTGTTTTCAAAGGTCGAATAGCTGATTCGCACTCGTTCGGGAGGCAGACTGCCCAAAAGGTCGAAAAAGTCAACATTTGTCGAAAGAAAGGAAGATAAAAGTTTGGAAACCATAAACAAGGGCCTTAAAAGCATTTTGTGTTTCAACCGCACATAGACTGATGTATTTTCATTGGTCAACCGATTAGAGCGGCCGATGCTTATAAGAAAGACACGCACACATCTTATTACAGTAGTCTACATTTCGTAGACGAATATTCTAGACTAACGGTCCCTCGCAATATTTCCGATGCACAAGATGTTACCAAGTTCGTGGCTCGTTTTGGACTTTTAACCACAGGGGGGCCTCGGGCTGCATGTTGCACGAGGGTTAGTACCAAAGGCGGGTAGTTCACGATCATATCATCACCGTAAATCCGTCGTATCCTGGAAAGAAAACGGTCGGAATGCACGTTCCGACGAATGTATCCACTCAGCCTTCCGTGCACTCTTCGCTGCAGCGCCTGGCCTTCCTGAAGAATGCCACGGCCGGGAGCTCCCCCATCTTACTGCACGCCCGTTACATACACATCGATGCGTTGCTTCCAAATTTCCAAGTTTCCAACTTACGACTTCACAGATTTGCAAATTGGAACCAAAGTGTTAATGTTCCAGTGCCAATCCTTTCCATATCGCCGAACTGCCATTCGTCTCCTCGAGACCGAAAAATCTACTGTGGGTTCAATGGTCTACGGATTTAATCCTTTTGAGATTTGGAAGGAACACAACTGCTGCATAAAGAGGCCCTTATCCATCATTGGGTCGGGAAGTTGGAAGGCATGCATCACTTGAAGCTGGGCCGGGTTGAATGTTTAGGCCAACATTCCGGCAAGTGACAATTGCCACAAAAGAAACTGCGCGCAAGACGAGATGTGAAATTCGGCCTTTCGTTGGCATGTTCCTGCGTGAGACACGCGCCTTGCTGCTCACGCCGTTATCGCGCGCCTACGGCGTAGGCTAGGGGAGAGAGGTAGGCGGGCGGAGCGAAGTATTCTACAATAGTCCAGACCTAGACCCAGGGGTTTCCTCCGCCACACGCCCGTTTGATGGACTACCGCAGTGCTGTCTGGCACCATCGTCTCGGTTGGAGTGGGGTCTGTGTTTGTCTTTAACTGGTTGATGACCTCTAGTGACTGTCATGGTTGGTCTGCTGCAGTTGTGCGAAACTCGGGTTTTCACCTCCCCACCGCACCGGGGTTATGTTACCCTCCCATTTTCCGCCCTGTCTGAACTCAGACATGGCGCTTTATTTTCAATACCGGGGGATAGAAAATTCGGTCGGGAGCCCCCGCCCAACAGATCCGGTACGGGGAAACGGACACATGCTCGATGAATTGTATTCCCGTCGGTTCCCGTTTTCCGGCAACAACAGTATGTTCCCTGGAGTTGACACAAACTTGCGGAAACACATGATTCGGGGAATGATTGCGACAAACAACGTGGAACCAGCAGTGAACAAACGGTCTAGTCGATAGGATACCCCTTAGAAAGCGATCCTGGTCTGTTTGGACGGCCTACTGAGGCGCTTCTACTGCCCGTGGGAATCTGGCGAAAATATAGCGATGTGGGTGGCGAATGTGTCCTGAGCACAGACAAACGCAGGAACCGGTTTCGTCGAAGTTCGAACGAATCTCTCCTCGAGAATATTGCCGGCTGCACCTTTTTCAAGGAAGAGACGAGACCGTCGTAGCGTACCTCTAGGGGGCGGTGATTTAAAGGCCCATATCTCATTCGCCCAGTTGTAGGGGCCGCCACGTGTCGTATTTGTCGGGGGGGGGGAGGAAGGGGGATATCCTTGTTTTGCGACAGCTGGTCGTTTCTCTCCAAAAGCTGACCGAGGTACCTCGGTTTCAACTTCGATGTGCCACTCTCCGGGCGAGTAGTTTGGACTTCTACGGGTCCGCCCGCTCTGGATAAGAAGCAAGGGCTTGGGCGTAGTGCGCCGCCCTTGTTGACACACACATCGATGGTAGGAACGGCACGTTCATTTCTTCCGTGTGGTACACCTATTCGCGTTTGACTTGGTCGAACGGGCACGAGGAGAACGAGTTGGTGGGCTCAGTAGACGTAAGGTTGAGGACAAGTTTCCCCGAGACGAATGTCGAGAGTGCCCAGGGAAGGCGCTAGTGGTTGCGTGATCCGAGGGATTCTGCATTAACACAGGGCCGAAAAGGCAAGCAGGGATGTTGCAAATACACTGTTGCACACCACGTGGGTCCGGGATTGCCCCCAAGCTGAAGGGAACAAACAGTCAAACCATCCCGAGCACATTCGGAACGACACAAACCGCTGAGGTTCTTGAACATCTAATAAAGATTTCGCCGCACACTGCCCGCACAGGTGAACGCGCTCCGGCGGGAGACCGACCTTCTTCTGTTCAAGACGAAGCTCCGACATATCATTCGCGAATTCGTGAGCGAAGACGCGCCGCGACAGGTTAACCTGAGGGACGAAATCAGGCAAAAGACGGAGAAGAGCGCAGCGAAAGTCCTGAACCGACTGGCGAAGGTAATACTTGTCCTACCACATCGACACAGAGTGTGCTTTGAACAAAGCGCCTGGGTTCCTGGGCTATCCTCGACAACCCATCCTGACCTCTATTACCATTGCTGGGCTGCAACCACACGAAAGCACAGCAGTAGCATCGTCAACCAAAGACTCCACCCCTGAGCCCAACCTTCGTCGTTCGAAACGTATACACCCTTGACCTGACCTGGTGCTCCCGTCCTCGCCTCCCCCCCCCCCTGCCGCCGCCGCCTAGTGTATGCAACTCTGAACACAATCCCTTCCTCGAAACCGAGGTTACCTAGGGCCGGCATCACATGAAGAATTGGACATTATACTTTTCTGAGCACCCGAACAGGCACCGGTCGGAAAAAGCATCCATTGAGGTAGATGGGCGTTATGTCCTCCCCTCGCACCAGTCGCATGGCCTCCCTATACCTTGCGCCTTGCCCCCCCCCCCCGCTCAATTTCCGATACATCCTTCCCTGTGCGCATTGATACAAATACAACACGCAGAAACCGAAGGAGGAGCCGGATCGTACTTCCCTTGACAGAGCCTATTTTTCCGTCATGAAGCTCGTCAGGGACGACCAGTACCGCAAGTACATGGACTTCATCGTGGCCCAGCGAAAACTGAGGCTCTCCAGTCTTGAGACGAAGCGGTGGGCAAATGTGAGAGCTATTAATAGGCGAAAATGGCAGGCCACAACAATGCAGATGACATTGCTGGTCGAAGAACGGTTGTCACACTTAACTGACGACGTCAGCTGACATGTCGCTACCCGCCGCCGTCCTCTACAATAACCCGCCCATCGATTAGAAAGTAGCTTCTTATTGTCTCCGAAATCAACACACGCAAGAAAAGAGTCCGCGAGACTCGACTGACTGGACCGACGCCCCTTGGTTTGTGCTCTCGACTGAGCAGAAGGAAGAGGCCATCCGGGAGTTCTTCACGTTCCCGTCTCAGGTCGACGCCATCGAGAGCCGACTCCACGCCTTCCTGACGGTCGTCCTGACCGCGTCCGCGATATCGCTGTCGATGTTGCTGGGGCTCCCGTGGCTGTGGCTGTATCTCACCTACGGCTTCTTGGCGCGGTTCTTGTGCGGTCCTCGTCTCGACCTTCAGGTAGGGGGTGGATCGCCATGGTGTGCACCGTCGGGGTCATTGTTCTTGTTGGTGATGGTATTATTACCGTCGTTGCTGCTTTTGTTCCTGTCACTGGTGATGATTCATGGAAACAATACTCACAAACGAAGAGACACGACACGTCCGAGATGGAATCACAGTCAAAGGGGATGGGCTAAAGTATCTACATTAACGGGAGAAACACCGGCCGGATGCTGGGTATAGTTAGTTTGTCGATGATTGTTGTTGTCTTTGGACTGGGTTACTGCCGTTTGTTCAAGCTGGACGTCGCTTACCTAGGTACACGTAGATGCCTCGTTGCCCGAGGCAGTTCTGCTCATGTGGCAAGTGCGTGGTATCGGTTGAAAATAGTTCTCTTTGTTCTTACGAAAGCACCCGACGTCTCGACAGTGCCTCATGACATCCTGTCGAACACTTGCTCAGCAAGAGAAAACAAGGCATATGTCGATGTTTTTTCGCTCTCAAAGGCACTTTCATTCTTTGAGTTGCATTTTGTAAGAAAGTCGCGTTTGGTGTTGACTCTAATTGTTCGTCTTCGTGCTAAATGCGTAACTGTCTTGTATTTTTCGTGGACTAATCCCAAGTTTGTCTTGCTCACCATGGCAGTCGTTATTCGTCCAGTCCTTCCTGCGGCCCCTGGTGGAGAAGAAAGTGACATCTCCTAAGGACGAGTGAGTGCAGAAACGATGCCCCTTCCTCCTCGCCCAACACCGCTGATTTACGAGCGGTATCAGAGTATTGTGATCATGACTCTTTGCACTCTACAGCGCACATCATTCTCGCCGATACCCTTGAGACATGTTCCTGCACCACAAGAGGAGGAAGAGGGTGGTACTGAACACATCTCTATCGTCGAGAGGGGAAATTCTGAGCCCGCGCCGTTCATCAAAGGCACAGCTGATGACACCCCTCCCTCTTGGTTGCCGGGTATTTCAGCAAGGCTTGAGCAACGATCCAAAGGTGGAGAGATACAGCACGACATGTCGCGCCAACATTACTAGAGAGTCGGTAATGTTGTGGACAGAGGTACGCGTAATATTTGCTCTATCTTTTCGATTGGCCCGTGCTCTTTCGGTTTGTCGCACAGGAAAACGGCCGTAACCAGTCCAAGTCCCCCCCCCCCCA